TTTCCCAATTTTTCTCTAGAACATTTTATAAAGCTGAAAGAAAACAAATAATTTGGTATATTAACGTGTTTTATAAGTGTATTAGTTACGAATGAAATTCAAAAATTGTAAATTTAAAATTTCATGTTATTCTCAAGGAGAATAGTGTAAAATGATTTTGTTTGTTTGTTTATAGATATGTCTTTAAAAAAATTCAAATTTATTTGTTTTTTAATAATAATTTACTATAAACACACTTTATCAGCCTCCTTTGTGTCAGCAAACCTAATTATTCATTAAACTCAAAGCTATGTTAGATTTAATAGAAAATCGGGCAAATGAAAATTCGCTTATTCTGCAGGTTTGCTGTGACGGGGATATTTAATATTTTGTCTTACTCCTTGTGATCCTTTTCCCTTACGCAGTAAAAATTACAATTATTTTCAATAATCCCCTTTTATATACCTAGAGTATAAAGGTAACTAATTTTATTACTTTATGAATAAATCTTTAAATGTCGTAAAAGGTATTTATATTTCGAAACACCCTGTATGGAGTGGTTTAATACACTTAAAACTAGTCCCAATCGATTTAAAATAACTAAAACCATCGAAAAACACACCTCACGCGACCTTAAACGTAAAAACAAATTTATTCAGGAACAAGGGCCCTTCGGAACAAAAAGGGCCCCAAAAAGGGCCTTAGGACGCCCAAAATGTTGGGGACTCATCGGATCTTCATTTATCATATTATTAGTAACTTACGGGTGAAATTTCATGAATGTACAAATTTTGTTGTTTATATGGAGTGTTTTTGTATTATTTTACCTGTACTATAAGGTTAACATGGGAAATTCCAGAGCCACTGGGGCGGAGCCCTTTTAAGAATTTCGAAACGGGAAATAGTTTACGTCCGATTCGCATACCTACAGAATTTACACACCAAATTTCATAACGATCGGTGAAGTCGTTCCGGAGGAGTTTGCAGACAAACACTGTGACACGAGAATTTTATATATTAGAAAGAAGATATCTATAAAATCATATATATATATATATATATATATAATAAGTATGGTTGTGATTAGGGCTACTATTATATTAATAATTGGAAACATTATAACAACATTAAGTACCCTTTTAAATTGATTTTAATTAAGAAACGACATGTTTCGACACAAATGTTGTTATTGTATTTGTATAAAAACACTAGCTGTAACCCGCGGGCTTTGCCCCATTTAACTTCTTAATTTTGAAGATGATCTCGTTTGCATGGCTCAATCACGTCCTGGTTGAAGTTCGTTCGCTACGCTCACTCACCTTTAGGTTGTGGCTCGTTCGCTGCGCTCACTTTCCTTCAGGTTAGCTCGTTCGCTACGCTCACTTGCCTTCAGGTTAGCTCGTTCGCTACGCTCACTCGCCTCCAGGTCAGAACAGAACCAACTTGTTTAATTGAAACAGCTGTTAAGATTCAATAATTTCATTTCTCATAAGGTTAACATGGGATGGGAAACTCCAGAGCCACTGGGGCGGAGCCCGAAAGGATTTTTGAAATAAGAATATGCCTATATGTTAATCGGGAATGTGAGCTATCATCATGCCAAATTTCAGCCCAATCCGACCAGTATTTTTCGCGTTTACTTTTCCCATACATACAGCAACCACCTCTTTTTTATAATAGTATAGATGACTATGACCTAAGTGTCGAAACATGTCGTTTCTTAATTAAAATGAATTTGAAAGGGTACTTAATGTTGTTATAATGTTTCCAATTATTAATATGTATATATATATATATATATATATATATATATATATAGACAATGAACATTGACATTTTATGTTCTGCTCCACTGACAATGTAAAATGTCCATGATGGTAATAGCTATTTACACATTACAAGTGTAGTAAGAGCGTTTTTACATCACGTAGGTGAATGTTGTGCAACGAGCGGAAGCGAGTTGCCTAATTCACTTAAGTGATGTTTAAACACGCTCTTGCGTTACGTGTAACGTACAAGATTTTACCTGACCCGACAATATACATGGGTTTACGAAAGCATAACAATAACATTCAAGCGCACAGCTGATTTCTAGCGTTGAACGTCGTTGGCTCCATAGAGGTATATTTTTCAAGTTAAGCACTCAATAATATTTAAATGGGTTTCTTTACATCACCGAGTGAGCTTTTGATACTTTACATTACTCGAGAAGTAAGGAAGTTGTATACATCACGCTTGGGATAGGGAAGTTTAACATGGCGGGTTAGGTAAATGATTTGATTTCTCCGTGAAGACGATTACTTGAGTAATTTCTATCCGATTTTGATAAAATATGGTTTGAAGGTGTAAGGCGGGATGAACTTGAATGAGATCACAAACCAGCATGCTCGGACCATGGGAACGGGTTTATGGGGTAAAAATTGGGTTTTCTAATTTTTGACCCTAAAAAAAAAAAATCCCAATTTCTCTCTAGACCTTCTTAAAGAGCTTAAAAAACAAATAATTCAGTAGCCTACTTACTTGTTACTTGGCCCTATGTCAAAGTGTTTTTGTACGGTTACCGTATTAGTTACGGGGAAAACTAAAAAAATACAAATTCAAAATTCCCATGTTATTCTTATGGAGAATATTGAAAAATGTTGTAGTTTGCTTGTTTGTGGATATATTTTGATAAAACCATATAAAACTTGGCAAATTTAATGATGTCATACTAACCTATAATTATTTTACTTAAAATCACACTTTATTAGTTTCCTTGTAGCAGCAAACCTAGGTACTCGTTAAACCTAATGTTATTTAAATAGATTAAGTGAAAATCATTTCAGGCAAGTGGGAAATCGCTTAGACGGCAGGTTTGCTGCTATTTATCTATGGTTGAGTTGAAAAATCTCCCGTGTGCCATACCGGTGCTGCGGTAGTGTGTAGTGTTTGGTCATGTTTTGCTGTTTGGTTTCTTAGCTCAGTGGGTTGTGGGTTTGTTTGTTTGCACGTACCATCACCATCGGTACCATTGAAGTCTTGGTGTTGGTTGGTTGATAGTCCTGGGGCCCATTTCATAATAAAGTACAAACTAATATTATTAGTAAATCAGCTGATCGCCCAATGCAAATCTAATGGAAATTACAAGTTACAAGTTGTAGCTTGTAACTTGTAGTTTATTATGAACACAGAGGATACGCGTCCGGTAACCAGACGTGGATTAGGCGTCCGGTAACCAGACGTGGATTAGGCGTCCGGTAGGGGGTCCCGGAACGCCATTTACCACAATGATACGATGTTTAGCCATCAGTGTTCGTGGTGTAGTGGATAGAGTGCTCGACTGATGTGCGAGAGGTCCCCGGTTCGAAATCCATCGGTAACTTTAACTTTTTGTCACAGATTTTGCTTTGAATGTAATTTCTTCTTAACTGTACATCTTTTGTTAGAATTTTTGGCATTTATAATTTTATGTTATGAAGAGAATTGAACCTTCATTTGATCTTGTTCACTATCAGCAAGTTTGGTTGGTTAGGTTAGGTTATGACAGTAACTGCCGGACGCCTAATCCACGTCCGGTTACCGGACGCGTATCCTCTGCGTATTATGAAATGGGCCCCTGGAAGTGCTCGATTCATCTCGGTTCCGTAATCCGTTCCGTTCCGTAGTGTAGTGTAGTGGCACGTAGTGGTCTAGTGCAGGGTGGAGTGCGGTAGGGCACACGGGAGGGACTAAGGCTAACATATCTTGTAGTGTCAGCGTTCGCCGCTAAAACTTCTAAGTTGCAAAATTTTAAATTAATTTTTTTTTTAGTTATAAAATTAACTTTTTAATTATAAAATATTGTTTTAAAATTATAAAATTAATTTTTAATTTTTAAAATTAAACTGTCATAACATAACCTAACCAACCAGACTTGCTGATAATATAAAAACTATATAAGATACATATCTAATTAATGATTACTTATAATTTTTAATTAATTATAAAATTAATTTTAAAATTTAGTATTATAAAATTAAACTGTAATAACCTAACCTAACCAACCAAACTTGCTGATATGAAAAAAATTGTTGACAAAAGTTAGTGCTGCCAGCGGGATTCGAACCCGGCACCTCCTAATCAACAATCCGAAACGCTACCAACTATGCTACGAACTCCGCTGAAATCACAGTGTTTCGTTACGGCATTAGACTTCTCATCCCATTGTAAATTTTGAAGCACGTTTTTCGTGTCTAGTTCATGTAAGTGTCACAAAGGCACTAGTGTCGATGAAACTTTGTTTCCGTTATTTTAGGGTTAATTTCTTTATTTGTGCTTTACTGTTTGGTTATATAACTAGGGGACAAGTTATTGTTTACGATTAGATCGTATTATTTGGTTAAACGAGGTTTTAAATGGCTGTAATAACGGGAAGCAAATTGTAAACAAAACACGACCTCTACATAAACCGTACATGAACTAACAATAAAATTGTCTTCAGCTGTTCCATAAGGATGAGAAATCTACTAAGAGAGTATGTTTTATCATAGATAGTTCTGTACGGTTTTCTGTAGAGGTCGTGTTTTGTTTACAATTTGTTTCCCGTTATTACAGCCATTTAAAACCTCGTTTAACCAAATAATACCATCTAATCATAAACAATAACCTGTCCCCTAGTTATATAACCACACAGTAAAGCACAAATCAAGAAATTAACCCTAAAATAATAGAAACAAAGTTTCGTCAACACTAGCGCCCATGTGTCACGTACATGAACTAGACACGAAAAACGTGCTTCAAAATTTACAATGGGATGAGAAGTCTACTTTAATCGTGTTGCCTCAAGAGAAGACATTAGGACATTTAATTTAAGCCACTAGAGATATGACGTCACTACACCTTTAGCCTTAGTCCCTCCCGTGTGCCCATTCCGGGTGGAGTGGAGTGGTGGACCTGTGTCGTGAGGCCACGGCCACAGGGATGGGATAGGGATAGTGATAGACTCAATAGACTGGACTGACAGAGTGACAGATGACAGATGGTCTGGTGTTGGTGAGGGTGAGGTGAGGAATGAAGAGTAAAGATCAAGATAAGAATCATCAACTTCAACTATTTAAAGATAGATCATAAAATTATTAGTGATCATGAAATAACATTTAAGGTAAGGTATGGGTCCTAGTCCTAGACAAGTAGGCTTAGGGCCTACTTCAAATCATAATGCACCGAAATGTTGTAGATCAAGCTAATGAGATTATAGGCGAAATAGGCCTAGGCCTAGTGTTTTTGCAACTGGTTTTTTAAAATTAAAAAGTAAAATATACCTAGGCTTTGTTCAACACAAGGGCTTAAGCAAATTCTTATGCTTTAAGTTTAAGTTTATGTCCTTTGCCAACTATTTTTTAAGGTGGTCGCATTTTACTCAGCAACATAAGTTAGCCTAAGTTAATTACCCTATCCTATTAATGATTCACATAAATTATTATTCATTGACCTGTCTTTGGTTTGACATTTGACAGTTTCTGGACTGGAGGGCAGCCTACAATGGAGTCACATGTAGAAACACAGGAAAATAGAAGTCACGAGAAAAGTATGAACTCTGAACTCATTCAGGTTGAGGCAACAGACTTGTCATTTGATACAGGTAACTTAGGATAATTCTATCGCAATAATTCCTAGATTCTATCTTACACACCACCTCATCCTTTGGTCACTTAGTAACTTAGGCTACCTACTTGATAGATTCAGGTAAGTTAGCCTAGCACAAAACATTCAATGATCATGTTAAAAAAATTGTAAATGGCAGTGGGCCTAGGATGTCTTTCATTTAAGCTAAGGGTTGTTGCGATATCAGCAATTCTGTTGGCACAAACAATCAAATGAAAAAATCAATCAATATACCTATTGATTAATCAATATATCGTTTGGTTAGTTGGGTAAGGTTAACCTAACATAACTAAGTTGGGCCTAACCAAACAATATATCGAATGAAACAACAGATAGGCCTAAATTGATTTATTCATCCCATTATTTGTGCCAACAGATACAGAAGTACTTTTTTTCCCCCAAGATGGCGTTTCTGACTGGATTGCTGTATTTTCTGCTCTGATAAATGTTCGCATTTATGGTTATTGTAGAGAGGGTTTCTATAACTGCATGATCGCCAACACACTGTGAGTTGTCTGTGTCAATGAATGTTGTCCAACCAACTTCCAATCTCACGAAATTATTAATTACTAAAAAGACTAATTTGTGATTAACAGAAAATACATTCCTGTCAAATCAAGCATACATATTTCCCTGGTCCTTCTGCTAGTCTGTTGTCTGCTCGTCGTCTGCTGTTTGTCAATAACCCTCGTCTGCCAACAGTCGAGGAGGGAACCCGTGCATCTAAAATCCACAGCCTTCTAGTTATCATCACCACTAAAAGAACACTGAACTATATTAAGTGATACCATTTTGGCTCCCAGTATCTGTTGGTGAATTGAGTAGCCACCAGGTACTGAGTCACTGGAGCGGGTGGAGATTGAAATACAATTGGCTTATAGAATAATTCAAACATGGATAAAATAACCACATGTAAGGTGTGCATGAAAGTAGTACTCGACTCAGAGGACGGCATTCAATGCGATGCGGATTGCAAACATTGGTTCCACATTAAATGTGTTGGGATGAGCAAGACTGAATACGCTACCTTTGCCCAAAATACTAAAAAGAAATGGATCTGCGCCAGAGTCGACTGCAGTACCGACAACCCTACTCCCTCCAACACGTTGCTCAATAAAATGGATGATTTATTAGCTAAATTCTCATTTCTTGCCACTAAAGATGAACTCAAAAATATTTCCGATGGGATCCGGGAAATAAAATCTGATCTGGATGATTTAAAACAGAAGATCTGTGGCTTTGAACCGCGGCTTGAGCAGCTTGAGGATGAAATAGCACAATTGAAGTCCAAAGGCGAGATCAAAAACTCAGAATTACCACTTGAAGACGTCTTTGAAGAGCTGAACGACAGGAAGCGTCGTGCCCGAAACGTAATCGTACTTGGCGTAAAGGAGAGTGGGTCGTCTTCTGTCGATCAGAAAAAAAAACATGATTTGGACCTTATAGGTGTAATGTTGCAGGAGGCTGAGCTTTGTGTAGAGTTGAATAAAATACCCTGCTTTAGACTTGGTAACCAAGATGGAGACAAGCCTCGGCCCATAAAGGTCTGCATGCCTTCTCCTGAGGACGCAGCCAGCTTCTTTTGAAAATTAAGTCCCAAAGATTCCAAAAACGTGGACTTAAAAGGTGTCAACCTGGTTCGTGATCGTACTACAAAGGAGATCTATCAAATCTACGGGAAACTCTGGATGCTCGTATTGGTTCAGGCGAGAAATACTTAACTATAAAATATATTAACGATGTCCCTAAAATAGTAAAGAAAAAAAACTAAGTTACTCCAACGGCAAGAACAGTTTACATGTGTATTTTCAGAATATAAATGGCCTCCGAACTAAGCTCAATGAATTCAAATCAGCCTTGGCCACTAGTATTTATGATATCATCCTACTTTGTGAAACAAACTTATCATCTGATATATCAAACTCCGAATTACAATCTACTTCCGCTTATTCCATCTATCGAAAGGATCGATCAAGCCACTCTAGCACGAAATCATCAGGAGGGGGGGTTCTAGTTGCAGGAAAAAGAAATATATGTTCCTTTGAAGTCCTGCAAGATACGAATTTGGAAAGCATTTTCATCACATTACCCAAGAGCAATCTATTATTGAACTGTGTCTACATTCCTCCTAACCAATCAACTTCTGTTTATGAGACATACAGTGATACAATTGACGAGGTGTTTACAAGATCAAACTGTTCCAATCTTCTTATGGGAGGAGACTTTAACATCCCCACCTATGATATCCCTGTATGTGCAGCTGATCCTTCGGAGAGGACCAAGAAAACCATTCTCGACAACCTAGCTGCAGGTCACTCCTTGGAGCAAGTAAATCACGTCAAGAACCATAGAAATGTTAGTCTGGATCTGGTCTTTACTAATCAGAGCCTTGTTTTGATTGCTCCAGCAGAGGACAAAATTGTTAGGCCGGACATGCATCACCCTCCATTGTCTTGGTCTCTTCATAATTGCCATACAACACAGATTCCACAATATAGCACCACCCCCAACTTAAGAAAGTGTAACCTTGAAGCTGCTTCACTCATGCTCGCTACAACCAGCTTTGAACACATATACAAACATTGTTCTGATGTTCAGGCAAATTTTAAGTGGTTGATCGATATGTTAGGAGACATCTGTGTTAAATGCAGCCCCTTAAAACGGATTGGGACCTCTCCATTTCCCAAGTGGTTTTCAAAAGACCTCATAAATCTTATTATAGATAAGAAAAAAGCTCACCGGCGATACAAATCTACCCTGCAGCCTGCAGACTATCACACTTTCTCTGTACTGCGTAACAACTGCAAGGCACTGAGTCGCACCTGCTATAGAAACTATCTCATCCATGTGGGCGATTCCATCCCAAATAATCCTAACAGCTTTTGGAGTTTCGTCCGGTCCACGAGGGATGCACCAACTTTTCCAACTCATGTCTCCTTAAACGGACATACGACAAGTGACTATAATGAGATGGCTAACATGTTCTCTGAATTCTTCGCCTCTGTTTTTTCCCAGCCTGTCGCAGCTGACCACTTTTTTACATTTGAAAGCAACTCAGCATTATCGTCAATTACGTTTACACCATCTGAAGTCATGGAAGCCCTCAAAAACCTGAATGTTGATAAAGGAGCAGGCCCTGATAATATCCCCCCTTCATTTCTAAAGTACTGTCAAACTACTCTTGGGAATCCACTGACCTATCTCTTTAACTCCTCTATACAAAAAGGAATCTTCCCACACGTACTAAAAGTTGGTCATATAGTCCCAATCCTTAAGAGTGGAAATCCCTCAGAAGTGATCAACTACAGGCCAATCAGTATACTGCCGTCAATCGGAAAGGTGTTTGAGATGCTGGTTTTGTCAAGATTCAAGCCATTTCTAAGGCCGCTTATTAGCCACAGTCAGCACGGGTTCACTACTTCAAAGTCTACAGTTACCAACCTCCTACTTTTTTGAAAATTATATCCTATCAGCCATGAAAAATGGTAGACAAATGGATGTCGCCTTTGTTGATTTTGCGAAAGCATTTGATAAAGTGGACCATGGTATACTCATTGCTAAACTCGAAGCCTATGGAGTTGTTGGGCCACTCCTTAACTGGATGAGGGACTACCTTACAGGACGCCGCCTGTGTGTTAAACTGCCTCACTCCAAGTCGCTAGAATTTTTCCAGACTTCAGGGGTCCCACAAGGCTCTCTACTTGGTCCATACTTGTTCATTGTGTTCATTAATGACCTTGTCGATGTACTGAAGGGGGACACACTACTCTTTGCCGACGACGTTAAGATCTTTACAGAAGTGTCAAGCTATGAGGATGCTATGCGCTTGCAGACTGGCCTTACATCCATTAATGAGTGGTGCATTTCCAACAACATGTCCCTGAATATTGCCAAGTGCTCAATCATGACATTCGGCAGATTACGAGAACCATACCACTTTCAGTATGCGATAGATGGTCAGTTGTTGAAACGAGTCTCAGTGGTCAAAGATTTGGGTGTTACTTTTGTGGCTTATCTTACCTTCGACAACCACATTGACGATATATGTAGCAGAGCAAACCGGCTTCTGGGATTTCTCTTTCGATCGACCCGTGGACTGAGCAACACTTGGGCGCTTAGGACTCTGTTCTGCTCTCTTGTTCGCCAGCTGCTCGAATATGCCTGCCCAGTTTGGTCTCCTCATTTAATCGGCCAGATAAGCCAGCTTGAGAGCATCCAGAGGAAGTTTTTGAGATTGGTTGGAGTTCGCCAGGGTCTACAGTATCGGGATGTGCCTGTGGCTCAAATGCAGGAAAACCTAAATCTCCAGGATCTTCGGGCGAGGCGCTGTGCATCTGATATGGTCTTCCTCTCCAAGCTCGTAACCGGGTTGATTGATTGTCCTGCCTTGCTGTCTGAAGTGGACATTCGTGTTCCATCTGGTACAAGATCCCAGGATCTATTCGGAAGGAGGCACTATGCTCGTGGATACCTGTACCATGGACCCATTGCAAGGATGCTTCGGAATGGGAATGTCTTCTGTGCCACTTTCGACATCTTCAAAGACAGCCAAAAAACAATCCGGAACAGGGTACTGGCTGACTTCCACCGCTCATCATAGTTACCACCCAAAATTACTCTTATTTTATTTGTTTCATACCAATGAATGTTTCTCTCTTCTTACAAATCTTGTTTTCTTTGTATTGTTGAAATTATATTTACTGTTATTGTTGAAATTCATATATTATTGTTATTTTAAAACTCATATATTTATTGTTATTGTTGAAACTCATATATTTATTGTTTGTCGTTCATTTATTTTTTCACTTACTATTCTTATTTGTTGTTCTTGTTCATTGGTTGTTATTTAAAGTTCTGCTTTGTGTACGTCTATTTCGATACTGCTTAAATCAAATTATATTTACTTACTGCATGTCATTGTCAAACATTATTTTGTATGTATATGTTTAAGTTAGATTAAGTCATCTATACAACACA